GAATAAGCCAGTGCTTGAGTCGGCTGGCTTGGAAAAGAAAAGCATTCCTATCCTCAAGAGCATGGGTAAAACATCTCAGATGAATAGAATTGTGTACGTGTGGATTAATGGTTCATCAATTAGTGTATTTGGTACTGATAGTGGAAGAATCAAGCCAGCGATTACTAAAAAAAAGTCGATTGGAGATCAACATTACAAGAATTTATCGATTTAGTGAAAGATCGTGACGATATCGATCTATTTACTAACTAAGACACCACCAAACTTGCAAAGGCGTTTGTGCCATGCGATGGTGAGGCTCGCCATGGAATTAAGATTGGAATTGATGAAGATATGAATAGTTCTCTAACTAGTGCTGATAACGATGCGAAGAAGTTTCCTATGGACTACTACAGCAAAATAGTATCTGAAGGAGCTCGAATTCCTTTTAGCCTGAAACCAATAGTAGATACCAAAAGTGGTGTGAAAGCTAAAAAAAATAACTACTTTAGTGATTTTACCGCAGAAAAACCTTTTTACATTTGAACCCACGAGAACAAAGCGGTTTCTGGCAAGGCTTTCAACGATCTTATGAAAACCATTAGATGAATGGACACTTTCAATAGCCTGATGATCGGGTTTGAAGACATAGAGCGATATTGCTATGAGAATGATAATCCACCATTGAAAGCCAATCTTCAGATATTGAATCGAGCCATCCTCGACAATACAAAATCGACAAATACATCAGCTCGAATCAAATCCTCTGAGGGTACTCATTATCGCGATGCCACTTTGCAAACTCTCCACGATGACTCAGAATCTGCATTCTTGAAGTATGGCGAAGCTCAGAGGAAATATGATGAGGCGAAGCGAGCACTAAAGGGTAATGACTTAAAACCTGCCAGGTCAGCGTCGAAGGCGGCAACCGCTGCCATGAAAGCGACCAAGGCTGTCTATCAAATTAAGGCCAAAGGCTTCTCCGATGATAAAACCTACACCGAGGTTAATCAGGTAACGACACCAGGCGTGGGGTCAGGGTTTAAGCGGAAGCTTCAGGGTCGTGGGCTAAGAGGTGCTGGTGTCGCCCCGCTTTAAGGAGTTGTCCGTCGCGGAAGAACATACAACCTCAATGAGATCCAAGGTATAGCCACCCCATCCGCATACATCTATCGTCATCTCGGTTTAAGTACATTCGGATCCCCGATCTTGATAACAAAACAAGGCGATTCTTGTATCCCTTGTAAATTTCTTTTTTTTATTCACTGATATTTCTATGATAGCTGACTCTCCTTTATCATTTTTCGTAGGTAGGAAAACGCTATCTCCCAGAACCACAATTTGATCGGCCCGCAGAAGTGCTGGCTCAACGATTTGACCTGGTTCATCAGTTGTTAAATTCGTTTTTAGCTTTTTGCTTGGTCCGCAACCCATGGTTATTAGGACTGTGGTCTATACGTTACCAAAGAAACGTTTTTGAGAACCAAGAAGCGGTGTATGGTTTGGAAGTATCGATAGGTCCATGCCTGTTTTCGCTCAATATTACCATGGTCGTACTTACTGAATGCTCTCAATGGCGTGATGTCTCGATACTGTTACCACTTAATACCGCTTAATACCACCAAAAGATACAGCTCGACCATCATCAAACACAACATTATATTTCTTTCTTTTCTCATCAAAATACGAAATGTGAATGGCATGGTCTATTTTAGAGATGATACCTTTGCTTCCAAGTCCTCAATTCGAATAAAGAGATGTTAAATCATTTTCATATTGTACGCTGCAATTTGACTGTAATCAACGATAAGCTGTGTTTTGGCTGGTTCGAACGATGGGTCTTCGCCTTCCTGAATATCCTCACGATAGAAAACACTGATTCAATCGGTTAGGTGGGCTGAGACAAGGTCTTGAGCTATGAGGCCCACCTCTTGACCAGGTCTATTTTCTGATTCAATTCAGTCATACAAAACTACATCACAATTATCGTAGAGAATTTTGATGCGTTCAAGCGGCCAAGATTGAATTCTCCTCTTCAATCTGCGGTCACTCGTCATCGTCATGGCTGTAGAGGCAAGGTATCCTCCGAATATACCCGCTACTAAATATGTGATCGGGCCAAGAGCGGATTATGTAGATCCACTATCTGTTATGAGGCGATACACTGTCGTTCCGCCTGCTCCAAAAACAAAACTGTTGCTGCCAGGGACGTGCAGCGGAGCTGAAGGACTTACCCTACCAAGACTAAGACGACCTGTGGTAGTTAGAATCATCGACGTCGGGTTATTGACCCCAAATCTGAGGTCGTTTTTGTGATGTTCCCGATCCATGAGGCACTCGCTGTGGTTGATCGATTGCCATTATGGACTTGGATCTGAAATAGAACAGGATTCGTATTCGACCCGGTTAGAGTCATCATTCGTGTCTAAGAACCTCCAATCCACTACCAGTGATCGAGAAATATTCATTTGTTACTGTAGAGTTGATCCCAAGCTCTGTCAGCGATCCTACTGCTGTTATATATCATTGGTTTCCATACGCTTAAACCCCATTGATAACGCCGGAGCAGCTGATATCCCCACTCGTTGACAGATTATTGAACGAGAGGGTAGTCGGAATAGATGTTAAAAAGCTTGATAGGGCATAATACGTCGAGCCCTGGCGCAAGTCCGTGCAGATCAGAGTAGTAGCTGTTACCGAACTTAGGCCTCCGATATTCGAGCTTGAGTCGCATAATAGGAACTTATTTGGCGTTGCGGTACCAAAACTAACTCCGTTTATGTATTCAAGAAGTCACTAATCGTAGGCTGGCGATATTCTCGACAATCGATGTAGCTTAAAGTGCCTGTTATCGATATCGAGCGCGATAATCCACTGAACGATAAATTTCCATCGATCGTATAAGACCCGACAAAGAGCCGAGAGACGTTATATTGGGTTGGGATCGGGTTTGTAACGTTCCAGTAATATTAGAAGCTCCAAAGCTATTAATTCCGCTGATATTGCCGGACAAATTAGCCCATCCTGTAATCATCCTTGCTCAAATATAGGTCTGCGCATAATCGTATGTTCGATAGCCACTCGAGTCTAGCGAAATAAAGAATGAAGGATTATAAATGGATGATTGAAATGTAGGCTGTGGATATGAAAAACCGGAGCTCAATTTGTTTAATCCCATATAGATCAAACGATTTTAGTCATGAGTGCTATATCTGACTTCGAGGCTTCGATTCCGAAAAAAATCAAGTCTGCTTCGATGGGTGATATCCCCGCATTGGAAATGAAAGCTTTGCTTAGAATGGTTGTGCTCGGTCCAAGCCAAAGGAAAGGGAAGAACAATCTTTGTATGTTTATTCTCAAGCATTCGCCTCACGTATTTGCTCATCTAACTATCATTGCTCGTAATCCCCATCAAAGCTAATCCCATCAGCTTTATGAGTATCTCCGGGAAACGTTGAAAGATTTATCACATTTGCTGACCCAGATAGCCCTCCTAAAGTAGATCAGGTGCGTCATACTCCATTAAGCTCCAACAAACCGGAGCTTGTTATCATCGATGACTATAGCAATGATAAACTACTTCAGAAGAATATCTTCTCTCATTACTATACACATGGGCGACACTTTAAACTCTTAACCATATTCCTAAGCCACAGCTACTTTGCCACTGATAAGATGATTCGGTTGAATTTGGAGTACGTAGCGATTCTAAGAGCGAATTCGAAGCGTGATTTACAGATGGTTGTAAAGAATTTAACATCAAAGGCGTTTATGAACGATTAATCGTCTATTCTACCACGTGAGAGCGAGAGGGCGCATCCTCAGGATCTCAGGGTAGTTTCGAAGCCGATAGATCGCGATAGAGAGTTTAAAGGCTAAAACGAGCTGTTCTTAATATAGCAAATATTAAGGATATCATAATTACTACAAGTAATAGGAATGTGCAATTACATTTTGGATAGTGGATTAAAGTGTAAGGCAAAGCCATCGCAAGAGCGTTGTGGTATGCACACATTATTGAAATTCCCGCCCACTGAAATTTGCTCACCAGAAGTCAGTGAAGATGTGATGAAAAAATCATTTCAGCTCCGATGAATGAAATAATCACTTGTTTGTGCGGATCATCAATAGAGAGATGGAACTTTGCAAAGCACTGTAATAAAGAAAAACATTCGAAGTGGATCAAGACAATGCCATATCCGCAAGGTCTTGGTTGGTGGGTCCGGACTATAGTAAATGGTAAGCAGGCTACTTTATTAATAATTTTTTTTTTCAAAACAAAGTTCACTATGTATATAGATACACATAACTAATAACAAGTCGAACGAACTAACTTTTGGAAATACAAGGGCACACCGATCGAAGAAGTATATGCTTCTAATTCCGGGTATTGTCGATGGATGCACAACCAACCCAGTCTCAATATTACTAAGGATATCAAGATTTTCCTTCACTCCAAGTTTCTTAGCAATGCTACTTATATGATGAATTTGGGCAAGGACAAGGAAACGACGCTAAAGCAGATTAGTCACACCGATACTAATAGTATCGATTGGCTTCGTAAGAACCCATTCGTAATTGATAAATGTCCTAAGCTACTCAAGAAACTTAATTAAGCGATATAATATATTTAAAATATTGTGCCTATGACAAAAATTACTAAAACATTTTATAACTAAGCCGTGGTAAAATCTAAAATTGTCCCGGTTAAGCGATCCAGCGTTACCTCTTGTTCGCTCACAACCAATACAAGCATGTTGGTTCCCTGACAACCAGCGTTGACACCCTGAACCTGAATAGCCTGCGGTACATCACGCTCCATCAGGCAGCTAACGTCAGCGATAAGGACGCGGTTAGTTAGAGACCACGTCTGATAGTCAAGAAGACCATTCACCAGCTCGGGCGTTAGATCACCGTTAATCGAAGTAATCTTAGCGATCTCTTTAGCAAAGTGGTGGAAGTCTTAGTCATGGCTGATGTCGAAAGTCTGTTGCGAACAAACGCGGACGTTAAAGTTGCGAATGCTCGAGCCAGGGTGAAGAGTCCAAGGAGCCGAATCGAAAGGACTCTCAAAACGCTTGGACAGCAGTAGAAGCAAAACTACCGGTCTGTTTGGCAAAAGGAGGGAGGATAGCATACTTAGCGTATTTAACAGAAGCCGAAAGCTGGAGATCAAAGCAGCATTGAGCTGAGTCGACGCCTTACCAATACCAGCGCGCTGGTAGAACCATTGGGCATAGCAATCGTTGTATCGAACCTTTTTAACGGGCTTAGAGACTATGGCCTGAGGGTTCTCCAAATGAACGAAAGGAACATACAGTCGAGAAGTGGTGGAAGGCATGTAGGCTCCAACAATTGTAGCCTCAAACGAGTTAGTCGCAGCACCCCCAGAAACCGCAATGGAATCAGCGACACTGAGAGAATTGTACATTGGATTTGGATTGGTCGCATCAGCAACCATTACTGGACATACATTGCCACTCGATAATGTTGTTCCCGTTAGCGTCATATTTCTCGATGCATCAACATCAATAGCTGAAGTGCCTTGGTTAACGCGGAAATGAAGCCGAATATGTGGATCAGCCATCAAGTCAAGCTCCTTGAAAATCGGATGTAAATCAACAAGCTTAATCTTAAGCATATAGCTCCACGTCCCCACAATAACACCAGGTGAATCAGCGCCAGCTACGAACGCACCGCGACTACGTTGATTACAATGGTAGTGGTGGCAGACGCAGCACCAGTAGAAGGCCACGATGTAGATGAGTCAGCTCCAGCATTTGAAGGGATAGAGATAAGACGCTTAGTAAAACCATCTTTTGCTACCTATGACGTAGCATAAATAGTACCGGCGGGGAAGGTAGTAGAGACTGCTGTGTTATTTAAATACCGTCTCCGGTAGTAGCGGCTTCACTACTGTACTTGGTTGATTGAGCAGCATTTGGGTATAGAAACGCTTCAGCACCATGCTTCGGAACATACTGAGGGCTGTTCCCAGTCTGAGCACCGATATTGCTCCAAAATAGCTTGTAGTCTGCCATCGAGACAATGGTTTTACAATTGAGCTCAAGCGACATCGAATCGATGACGTTAAAGTGCCACTCTTGAGACCAACGCAAAATCGGTTGGCGGTATTATGTATATTTGTAGCGTGCGTGTTCTTCGTCGAAACATTGTACGGTAGGATAATGTAAGCATCGCGGAGATAGGCAAATCCCTCACTACCATTAATCTGGGACGTAGCGTCGATAGTGAAAACACCGTTCGGTACGAACCTTGGTTAAGATCGATAACATAAGACATGAGCTTGCCAGAGGAGACCTTAATCTCCGGATCACTCTTGAGCGAGCTCTGGTGAAGATATTGGTCGAAAAGTTTTTTTCCATACATCGTTGAATCTATGTCTTGATCAAAATAGTTTTGCTAAATTTATTATTATGAACAGCCTTGTTAAGCCAATTACCAGTGATCACGATCTCATTGAACTCGCTGAGAAGATGGTGGCTCAGCTCGATAATATTTTCGAATCAAGTGAGATCTCTCAGCCGCTTCCGAAGAATGGATCATATCTGATTTTACTACGACAACCTAACATGGATGTAGGACACTCGACAGCTGTTCACAATGGCAAATATTTTGATAGCATGGGAGAAGCGGCACCTACGAAGTATGGAGTCGGGCGATATAATACCAAACAATATTAAAGTTTGTAGGCCAATTGCGGACCCTTCTGTATGCTTTAGTTATATTCCAAGCAGCGCAACAGATTTAAGAACATGAAAGATCTGAATTTCTCAATTCTGTATTTAAGAACATGAAAGATCTGAATTTCTCAATTCTGTATTTAAGAACATGAAAGATCTGTATTTCTCAATTCTGTATTAAATATGTTTTAGGGAATATAGCAATAATGTATCGCGAACTGACGATTTCCAGCGAAGTTCCAGCCGCCAAGCTGACCAAAGCTCTCAAGACAGGCAATCTAAGCCTTACTGCAAACCAACTCAAGGGTGCAGGCCCTGTTATTCATATCCACCCAGCTTCGTATGAGAAAGCGCTAAAGGCTCGCAAGGCAGGTCGTGGTGTTAGACTTGATATCACACCTCATGAGATCAATAAATGATACAGGAATCTCCAAGGGGGATCCATTTGGAGTAAAATCAATTTGGTTTATCGACAGCATTCAAATTTGTAAAAGACAGCGGATTGCTTTCAAAAGGATTAGCCGCGGCGGTTCCGGCTCTTGCGTTTGCGTTTGGGGCCTCTCAAGCAGCAATCCCAGCGAGAGCAGCTATTAAGTCATTGACCAGAGTTGGGTTAAACGACTCTGACCGTAATATAGAGATAGTGGGAGGACGTGTATCTATAGCGGATGTTAAGTCGCGCCAAAACGGATCTCGGGTATTCTAAACGTAAGAGGGTTCTAACTGGTGCAGTCGATGCAGGTGATAAGCTTCTACTATAAAAGGCAGGCAAACGGAACATGAAACTCTAATCAAGTCAGTGCGAGGTGAGGTAAAGTGACGTTATGGTATGGGAGTTTCTAGGAAATTAGCTAAAGGCAGTCCTGAAATGAAGGCTAAAATGGAGTTGAATAAAAAAATTAGTCATTCGATTAGATATTTTTTTGGACGAAGCAGAAGCATGATGCTCACTGAAGTGTCGTGGAACTTAACCATTGTGTCATTCTAACTAAAGATTTAGATCTTAATTGATGTGCGCGCTCCATTATGCCAGTTCATCCAGGCATATTGACTTGGCTTATAGCTGATTAATTAACCTACCTGAGCATCACCACGATCAAACACACTAAGAACATCACCAGAGGCTACATACTCGTTCTTAATTAGATCACAACGAGCGATGTAAGAAGATGTAGGATGGATCTGAGGAGTTGTATTACTGAACTAAGCACTTAAAAGCCGGTGCAGGCACTGAAGGATACGTACCAGTAGTTAATCCTACTATTTTACCAAAAGCGACATTATCGATGATGATGCGAGGGACACGCGTTGTTGATGACAAACCAGTACCGCCTGACAAATAACGACCACTTGCCGGAAGTGCCACCAGCAGTAGGAAGTGTCGTTGGCGTAGCGCTAAAATCGAATTGGGCAGCATAATCACACTGTTTTCCGTTAGTTGAATATAGAAAACGTTTTCACCCGATGAATTAATTCAATACGCTCCATCATTTACGAGAGCTGTCTGAATGCTTTGATTTATATCCGTATAACTGTAAAGACCACCCATCAGGCAAGTTAACAGATACAGTGGATGTGGTTCCAGCTGTCGAAACTTCAATTTTAAGAAATTATTCCAGAATTGAGGGGCGTCAATGTTGTATTCAGAGTTATACATCGAAGTCTCTTAAACTACACATGCTACATCATTAGAATCGGCAGCTCTACCTGGGAAGCTGTATTTCCATGTGCTGTTGTATCCGTCTTGAGCGAGGATAGTGGAATCGAGTTTAACAAACGAAGTGCACATGATTTATGTATATTGATTCACTCAAAATATTTTCAAATTTTTGCTCAATATCGATCGGCCTATCGATGTTATATCTGATTTGACCTTTGACTGAATCCACGAACAGCATCTGGCTTTGCGCTCCGTTGCTTTATTGTAGTAATAGACGATTGATCGTTCATAAACGCCTTTGATGTTAAATTCTTTACAACCATCTGTAAATCACGCTTCGAATTCGCTCTTAGAATCGCTACGTACTCCAAATTCAACCGAATCATCTTATCAGTGGCAAAGTAGCTGTGGCTTAGGAATATGGTTGAGAGTTTAAAGTGTCGCCCATGTGTATAGTAATGAGAGAAGATATTCTTCTGAAGTAGTTTATCATTGCTATAGTCATCGATGATAACAAGCTCCGGTTTGTTGGAGCTTAATGGAGTATGACGCACCTGATCTACTTTAGGAGGGCTATCTGGGTCAGCAAATGTGATAAATTATTCCAACTTTTCCCGGAGATACTCATAAAGCTGATGGGATTAGCTTTGATGGGGATTACGAGCAATGATAGTTAGATGAGCAAATACGTGAGGCGAATGCTTGAGAATAAACATACAAAGATTGTTCTTCCCTTTCCTTTGGCTTGGACCGAGCACAACCATTCTAAGCAAAGCTTTCATTTCCAATGCGGGGATATCACCCATCGAAGCAGACTTGATTTTTTTCGGAATCGAAGCCTCGAAGTCAGATATAGCACTCATGACTAAAATCGTTTGATCTATATGGGATTAAACAAATTGAGCTCCGGTTTTTCATATCCACAGCCTACATTTCAATCATCCATTTATAATCCTTCATTCTTTATTTCGTTAGACTCGAGTAGTTATCGAACATACAATTATGCGCAGTCCTATATTTGAGCAAGGATGATTACAGGATGGTCTACCTTAGCGGAGTAATAGCGGGAACTGCTTTCATACAGTAAAGCTTTGAATCTCGATTCGTCCGGCAATATCAGCGGAATTAATAGCTTTGGAGCTTCTAATATTACTGGAACGTTACAAACCCGATCCCAACCCAATATAACGTCTCTCGGCTCTTTGTCGGGTCCTATACGATCGATGGAAATTTATCGTTCAGTGGATTATCGCGCTCGATATCGATAACAGGCACTTCAAGCTACATCGATTGTCGTGAATATCGCCAGAATACGATTAGTGACTTCTTGGATACATAAACGGAGTTAGTTTTGGTACCGCAACGCCAAATAAATCCCTATTATGCGACCCAAGCTCGAATATCGGAGGCCTCAGTTCGGTAACGGCTACTACTCTGACCTGCACGGACTTGCGCCAGGGCTCGACGTATTATGACCTATCAAGCTTTTTAACATCTATTCCGACTACCCTCTCGCTCAATAATCTGTCAACGAGTGGGGATATCAGCTGCTCCGGCGTTATCAATGGGGTTTAAGCGTATGGAAACCAATGATATATAACAGCAGTAGGATCGCTGACAGAGCTTGGGATCAACTCTACAGCAGCGAATGAATATTTTTCGATCACTGGTAGTGGATTGGAGGTTCTTACACACGAATGATGACTCTAACCGGGTCGAATACGCATCCTGTTCACTTTCAGATCCAAGTTCATAATGGCAATCGATCAACCACAGCGAACGCGTCATGGATCGGGAACATCACAAAACCGACCTCAGATTTGGGGTCAATAACCCGACGTCAATGATTCTAACTACCACAGGTCGTCTTGGTCTTGGTACGCCAAGTCCTTCAGCTCCGCCGCACGTCCCTGGCAGCAACCGTTTTGCTTTTGGAGCAGGCGGAACGACAGTGTATCGCCTCATAACAGATAGTGGAGCTACATAATCCGCTCTTGGCCCGATCACATATTTAGTAGCGGGTATATTCGGAGGATACCTTGCCTCTACAGCCATGACGATGACGAGTGACCGCAGATTGAAGAGGAGAATTCAATCTTGGCCGCTTGAACGCATCAAAAGTCTCTACGATAATTGTGATGTAGTTTTGTATGACTGAATTGAATCAGAAAATAGACCTGGTCAAGAGGTGGGCCTCATAGCTCAAGACCTTGTCTCAGCCCACCTAACTGATTGAATCAGTGTTTTCTATCGTGAGGATATTCAGGAAGGCGAAGACCCATCGTTCGAACCAGCCAAAACACAGCTTATCGTTGATTACAGTCAAATTGCAGCGTACAATATGAAAATGATTTAACATCTCTTTATTCGAATTGAGGACTTGGAAGCAAAGGTATCATCTCTAAAATAGACCATGCCATTCACATTTCGTATTTTGATGAGAAAAGAAAGAAATATAATGTTGTGTTTGATGATGGTCGAGCTGTATCTTTTGGTGGTATTAAGCGGTATTAAGTGGTAACAGTATCGAGACATCACGCCATTGAGAGCATTCAGTAAGTACGACCATGGTAATATTGAGCGAAAACAGGCATGGACCTATCGATACTTCCAAACCATACACCGCTTCTTGGTTCTCAAAAACGTTTCTTTGGTAACGTATAGACCACAGTCCTAATAACCATGGGTTGCGGACCAAGCAAAAAGCTAAAAACGAATTTAACAACTGATGAACCAGGTCAAATCGTTGAACCCGTACTTCTGCGGGCCGATCAAATTGTGGTTCTGGAAGATAGCGATTTCCTACCTACGCAAAATGATAAAGAAGAGTCAGCTATCATAGAAATATCGGTGAATAAAAAAAATAGAGATTTACATGGGGTACAAAAATCGCCTTGTAAGAGAAGGAATTTCTCCTTAAAAAACTGACGTTAAATAGCAAAGGACTTCACCGTTTTATCTTTTTTTCTTTCTTGTGTAAGCCCATCCTCTTCCTCCTTCGGTCTGAGACGATGCATCAACCTTCTTTATGGACTTATCAAGGTCAGTAGCCCAAACGGCTGCCTGAGTCTTCTGTGGGCGGTCATGAATGATGAGGTTTTTCATGATAGATTTTAGCTCGGCTTTGTTGAGATCCGCGTTGTCTCCTTAGCTACCTGCTGAGCTGGAAATAATTCGGCGGCTGAAAAAGTAACATGTTTCTATAGTAGTCGTGTAATAATTTCCTTGAACTCTTTATCATCAATCATTCGATTGCTGTACATATCCACACTAAGCGATTTAGGTTGCTTAACGATTGAAAGATTATCATTACCGAGTTCATCTTTTAGCTTAGCATATTCAGCTTTTAGAGCTTCTAACGGATCCTCAACCCGATCATGGAAATTGTACTGAAGATTAGTAATCGCGAGAATCTCCTTGAAGATCTTTTTATCATCGATACTGAGATTGTCGTACTCTGTCTGATCGATATGCTGATTGAAGGCGAGAGCTCGAATCATTGAGTGTAGCGGATCACTGATTACGCGTTTTGGTCCGCACTTGCGTCGATTCGGCTGAACAATGACCTGAGTTTTGTTATCAAGATCGGGGATCCGAATGTACTTGAACCGAGATGACGATAGATGTATGCGGATGGGGTGGCTATACCTTGGATCTCATTGAGGTTGTATGTTCTTCCGCGACGGACAACTCCTTTAAGCGGGGCGACACCAGCACCTCTTAGCCCACGACCCTGAAGCTTCCGCTTAAACCCTGACCCCACGCCTGGTGTCGTTACCTGATTAACCTCGGTGTAGTTTTTATCATCGGAGAAGCCTTTAGCCTTGATGTGATAGACAGCCTTGGTCGCTTTCATGGCAGCGGTTGCCGCCTTCAACACTGACCTGGCAGGTTTTAAGTTATTACCCTTTAGTGCTCGCTTCGCCTCATCATATTTCCTCTGAGCTTCGCCATACTTTAAGAATGCAGCTTCTGAGTCATCGTGGAGATTTTGCAAAGTGGCATTGCGATACTGAGTACCCTCAAAGGATTTGATTCGAGCTGATGTAGTTGTCGATTTTGTATTGTCGAGGATGGCTCGATTCAATATCTGAAGATTCGCTTTCAATGGTGGATCATCATTCTCATAATCATACCATAATTTATCCGACTGGAGGACCGGTACCAAGAAAATGGTACACCACAGATAAAATTGTACAGCGTGCCAAAACGTTTGACTGACAAACACGGTATTTGTTGAATGATTAGGGGAGATGGGGAAAGATGCGAAACGTCAGAAGGTCTGTTTTAAGCCTAGGCCATAGGCGCAAGGAAATTGTCTGAAACGCTCTGTGGGCTGAGAAAATCAAGAAAAGGTAAAAAACGATCAAATTGGGCCGGAGCCATGTGCTCTCGGGCAAGTAAATTCACTAATGAGTCCATGATTTTCGCAGCGAAGTCCACTATTAAAAGCATGCTCATGACCAGTCGGTGCTGTGTATGCCTATTGGTAGAAATATCTACCAATTAAACATGTCCACGCATAAGTGGATAGACACGTGGCTAGCTGTTGGCCAGCAGCCACAGATAGCTGAAGAAGGCCACAGTAGCTCTTCGGTTCGGCAGACGAAGAGGGGGAATTGCCAGTCGTCTTTTTTCAGGCCGAACCCTCCAGACCTCCCAGCCAGACTCGTCGCGGATTGGCCCTGCGGATAGCCGCCTCCACCTCCACCCCCTCCCCCCGACGACGTAGCTCACCGGAAGAGCGCAGGTATTGCCCGAATGTAGCTGGTTCAACTCCAGCCGTCGTCATCATCCCAAAGGTAATAGGGCGTCGCGTGCTGCAGCCATGGATCGTGTACGGCGTGTCAATGCTGCTGCGTGCTTTGTAGGGATCTAACGTGTCTTGTGTGCGTTGTTGGTGCCATGATTTGGATGACTAAACGCGCACAGAACAAAACGACGAAGATAAAAGCGAAATACACGTGCATGTTGCTAACATTTGCTATCATGCACGTGTATTTCGCTTTTATCTTCGTCTTTTTGTTCTGTGTGCGTGTCTACGTTTGCTAACATATTTCGCTTTTATCTTCGTCGTTTTGCTCTGTGCGCGTGACTACGTACTAGCTACAAGCTATAGGCCATCCTGGCGATCGGGGTCTTGGACGGCAGCAGCACTGCGCGGCTGCTGCAGACGCGTGATCTTGTCGTTGAGGGCGCCTCGCTGATATAGGTCGTGGATATGCTTGCGAACTGCCGTGGGGCCGCGAGACTTGATCTCAAGCCTGCCGAGACATGCCAGCACCGCTGCTTCAGCTTGCTCGTCAAGCGCGAGGACTTGGTCACGGTAATTGACGGCGCTTGGGTCCAGCTTTCAGTCGTCAGCTACGAACAGCTTCATGAAGGCCACGAGCTGTTTCGCGTTCGAGCGCTGGCGTTTGGGGGCATCAGCCAGTCCGAAGGGCTCCTGTGCATACCACGCAAACCATGTTGCGTGAAGGTGAGTCATTGATGTCCGTCTGCGCTTGGTTTTCTCCTGTACGTGGCTTAGCTCTTGCTGACGCTTCTTGTTCGTGTCTTGTGTTGTACCCCCTTCTTGCTTAGTCTCTACGACATCCATGCGCTCATCTTGGCGCTTGATGTGCAACTTTAACTGGTTAATCACACTCCGTTGGTGATCGATTATCTTGGATTCGCTGCTTGTTTCCTTGTGCATTGACGTAGGTGGATCTTTGCGTGGGGTTGCGGCGAATTTCTTGTAGGTGGCGAGGTGTGACGACCATGCCAGAAGGTCTGCTATCGCAGCCCCTGCGTGGACAACAGCCGTCTCCGCGCGCCTGACGGCAAGCCCACCGGAACGAAGCGTTTTCAGCAGCGGGTGGTGCAGCACGAGGTACGTTGTGAGAACATCCGCCACTTTGGGACTGATGTGGTACTTGGAGCTGTTCGGTTTGTGGCATGTTGCGAGCAGAAGCCGCTGTACACCTGCAATCTTCAGTCGCGTCTCAGCGTCAAACGTGTCCAAGTCCAGCAGCTCCGCGTCCGCGCCCGTGGTATAACTACTAAGCGCCTTGCGTATCATGTGGTCCTGGCTGCTCGTGTTGAAGATGTAATTAAACCCCTTGTTTGTCGCTGACATGTTCCAGGCGCCGCGGTCGAAGATCCAGCGCTCCGTGAGTCCGTCGCAGCCGTTGACGTGCTGAGCCCCACCGCGCCGAAAGGAATGGGATGTCAGTGGCTCAGTAACCCCAGCGGCAGAGGCTACGCGATCAATCAGGCGATTGACGTGGGTGTAGAACGTCGGCACAGCTGTGGCGGGCTTCGTTGAGCAATTGGCGCGCGTGGCGGTGGCGTCATGCGCGGCGAATTCACATGGGTGGTTTAGGACCTCAAGCAGCGGCGTCGCCGGCGACAGGTTAACAGCGGCCTCGATCGGGATCTTCGGCAAGTTGTCGATTAAGGCCGGTGTCAGTGCGGACTGCGTGATCAGGACCATGGCAATCGCGTGATGCGGGCACGTGACGAAGTCGGTGTCCGGGAAGAGCGAGAGCCCCTGCTCTTCGTACGGTTTCATTCGGATAAAGCGTACGAAGAACACGTCGGCCGCATCGACGGACATGTTTGGCTTGTGCACATGCGACAGATCGGAAGCACGGCCGAGCAGGTGCCACATCAGACACAGTAAGGCAGCATCTTGGAAGTCGCTAGGGGAACACGCACTCTCATACAAATACAGCATCATTTTTTTAGTCACGCTTTGAGCATGGTGGTGCTTTGTTAATCACCTTTCTGTTCTCGCTTCATGCAAAGGCGTTCGAGCGTCTTCCCCATGCTAAGCAGCTTTGTTTCGACAATGTGCGGCTGCACGGGGAAGAGCTCAAAAAGCCACATCTTACTCTGTTGGTAGTACTGCATGGAGGTGTTCCGGGCAAGTGGTTTGCCCTTCTTGTCCTCGTTAAATGCAAGATACTTGCCATTCTTATCTAACACAGACACCAAACAATTACCTGTACCATCCTGTTAAATGCATTGCTTAACATAGTCAAACTCAACATCTTCGCTCTTTACTAACGTCTGAAACATCTTGATGTCTGTTTCCTTGGCACGCTTGGTGTAGCCAGATTTTAGCTCGTCTCAGCCCATCCTGGTCGGATAAGACGGATGGACTGCAAATATGCAAGTAATATGCCTTTCACTTGCCGTTTGTAGACGGATACACATATTTTGCGTCCGTCTCCGACCCGATACGTCAGAATGGCTGGCGTAGAGGACCTACCACATCTTCCACATTCTGATTGGCTTAAAATAAAAGATTGAAGATTTTCGATTAAGTCGAGCTAATAACAAATTGCTAATTGGTCGATATAATGAGCCCCCATGCCCCATGCAAAAATTAAGGGAGGTCGGATAACTGATTATATTCATTCATATCGTTCTATGTTTTCAAACCCGGTCATCAGGCTATTGAAAGTGTCCATCCATCTAATGGTTTCCATAAGATCACTGAAAACCTTGCCAGAAACCGCTTTGCTCTCGTGGATTCAAATGTAAAAAGGTTTTGCTGCGGTAAAATCACTAAAGTAGTTATTTTTTTTAGCTTTCACACCACCGTTGGTATCTACTATTGGTTTCAGTCTAAAAGGAATTCGAGCTCCTTCAGATACTATTTTGCTGTAGTAGTCCATAGGAAACTTCTTCGCATCGTTATCAGCATTAGTTAGAGAGCTATTCATATCTTCATCAATTCCAATGTTAATTCCATAGCGAGCCTCACCATCGCGTGGCAAAAACGCCTTTGCAAGTTTGGTGGTGTCTTAGTTAGTAAATAGATCGATATCGTCACGATCTTTCAGTAAATCGATAAATTCTTGTAATGTTGATCTCCAATCGGCTTTTTTAATAATCGCTGGCTTGACTCTTCCACTATCAGTACCAAAAGCACTTATTGATGAACCATCAATCCACACGTATACAGTTCTATCCATCTGAGATGTTTTACCCATGTTCTTGAGGATGGGAATGATTTTCCTTTTCAAGCCAGCCGACTCAAGCACTGGCTGATTCTTGAAAATAGACCAAAGCCATCGATTATTATTATCAACTTGATCTGATGAGGCTGAAGTCGATGTGTCAAACTCGAAGTTGTCTTCAAGACGTTGTCTTGTACGGAATGCATTATCACCTTCAATTGGATCTGCGACTTTTCGTTTTCGCGTTAGTAAAACGTGATAAAGAGGGTCTTCAAGTCTCATATAACTGCTCTCATCGATTGATTTACTTACGCCATCATACCAGATGTCCGTAGTCTTCTCCTCTGTAGCCACCCAGTCAATAGATTGACAAGTCTTACTCTTTCTACCCGTTTTGGCTGCAATTAATGACCCCTTTTCACCAATGAAAGTATCTATTGTCATCCTTACCCGTTTTACGCTTAATTGGCTTAATTCGAAGCGCCACCCAATTAGGATTGGCGTTAAACAAATTCTTAACCCATGATCGCGCCTCCACTTGATCTTCGGAATCCAGGTTTTTCATGTTTGTTTCAGCATCTAACATTCTTGGAGTATTGTCGATTCCAACACCAGCTGTTTGCTGTGTGTTTTCGATACCAACATCAGATGTTTGAGGTCTCGCTTGAATATTTCTATCAGTTTAGCTAACACGATCAGTATTGTTTGAGCTATTTACCATCTGCACGCCGCTATCTACTCCAACATCGATCATCACAGGTCGAACATTTGGAGTTGAGACCTCAGGGTTTGTTTGGGAGTATCCATCCATGAGTGGTTTTTTTAATGACTCAGCAGACTAGGATAAGTCGGACTGGCATCTGGAGCTCATTTCAGTTTTTGCAAGACACTATGAAGCGGTTTCTGCTACAGGGTGCATCTAACGCTGGTTGGGTTAAAGCTCAAGAAGCACGTACTCAGATTAACACAGCCAGCGCCCAGATCAGACTTCAAGCATATCCAGAGCTGTCAACAAAATCTCGCTCAAGTATTGACCTCAAAATTGCACAAGAAAAGGTGAATCAGCTGCAAATACGCAGGGTGTGTCAAGACATTGCTCTTTCGACCATCGACATGACATTGGCGCAACTTTTTTCCCGTTGACGACAAAGATGTCTCGCGCATTCGGTCTAAAGCCCTTCACTATAATACACTGACCTGGAAGGAGCGATCGGTAGTTATCTTTTGCTACCTCCACCCTCTGCTTGGGACAAGGATGCAGAGGTGACGTGCAGGGTATTTGGAGTTCGACATGCAACATTCACCAATTGGGTAACGAAGCACTCATATTACCCAAAGTGGGTTCCATTTGTTGAGTTAATGACAGTGCGTACCTTCAATTCCAGTCGAATTTCGAGCAATTCTTGATGAGTCACAGCTCGACGTGGCGTCAGGTGTCTCAATACCAGTTCAATTCAGGACACCAACAACTAAACGCTATGTCACTGCAACCTCTCACCCTCAGCTGTCGCGTCAGAAAGTGGTGAAAATTGCCAAAAAGAGCGAGGGAGTGAAGTATTTAACAACTTCAGTCAGGACAGTAAGTGTTGGACGCAGTCTGAAGTACCCTACAGAGACAAACTTTCTTCTGGATAAAGTTAAGAAAGGTTTGGAATCCGGTAAATCAATATCTCGCAACGAGATTTATCTGCGACTTATACAACAGTTTGGAAATGATGGCATTTTGGGACCGCCTAGCGAGTTTTGCAGTGTGATGAAGCCTAACGGCGGAGGAATATCGCCTGCGCTAGCGCAGTGGGTTCGTAGGCGCCTCGAAGGTGCCAACTGGAGCATTCGCAAAGCGAGTGTGTCTCAAAGGTGCCAACTGATTGGGTTTCAATTGCTCTTGTAGCCTCACAGAAGATTCGCACCAAGCTGGACGGGTGTACAGTTTTAATCAATGCCGACGAGGTGTTTATCAAGTTCTTCCCTAGAGACACAGAGTTTGTGGTACGTACTGGAACGCAACGAGTTGGATCTAATGTGGCTTCAGATGCCAAAAAGGGATGCTCAGTGATGGTTTCTGCAGAAATATACTCCTCGAAGGTCCTTCCTCCCTTTATTGTGATGACCGCGACTCACAATGGCACCCTTGCTAGACGTTTTGCTACGTGGCGTGATGAAGGAGGTGATGCAAGCGTTCATTTTCAACCTTCACACTGGATGGACACGCCAACCGCAAAAAAGTACGCGGATGTTTGGTTAATCTTTAGTCTATACCCGGGTCAAAACATTAGTCTCATTTGGGATGCAGCTTCAGCTCACATTTGTCAGGAAATGATTGACTACTTGAACGAGAAAGGTATAATGTATGAGGTTATTCGCGCTGGATTAACTTCTATCATGCAAATCTGCGATCTCTACGTTAACCGACCTTTGAAAGCTGCTATTAAAAAAATCTTTATGCGATGGAAGGTTTCACAAACCATCCCACCCGGTGGTAAGTACAAAGTTGATAGAGTCCAAGTGATTCAATGGGTCGAAGAGGCCGTTTCAATGGTAAATGAAAAGCAGAACTCTGACAGGAAGATTGAGTACATGTTCAAGCGACTCGGCCAGATCCACGACAGCCCAGTAACCAGGCTTTTCAAGAACACATAGGCCATCTACAAGAAAACGAGCTCTACAACTCACTTCTGCTGAACCAGACAGCAGAAAAACCTTGTGTAATGGAGAGATTGGGCGAGTCTTAATTTTGAAATTTCTAAGCTAAATATTAACACGAAAATTGCATATTTGCTTCGCCAGCCCGCTTTAAAACGGTAAGATGAGTGCCATTTCCCGATGACCAAAAGCATTTCTTTTGTGAGGTACGGTAATCCCATTCGTGGTATCACTTGCCCACAAAGCACCTTCGTAGATCTCTCGCTTGGCTTTAGCTTGTCGAACGCGACGCTGAACTTTGTCAAGAAGCCCCTGCCGTTTTTGCTCTCTCTGGGCGAGAGATGAAAAATTTGGAAATATTGTGTCTATATCAAACGAATCATAAAATTATGAAATAAGCAGCCTTACATACTCTTACCAGTAGCTCGGCATAACTGAGTCATGACGAAAGGGTAGATACGAATGACAGATACGATTTCGCTCATTTAGAAGATTTTTATAATGATCCTTAATGTAACGGATTGGAACTCCAAAATTTGTTTCCAAGTCATGGTGATACTGACGATTTACTACTGTTTTGCGGAAATTCGCGGCTGCTCCAAGATTCAGCAACTTATTCTTGATTTGACTCACCTCCTGAATAACCCGAAGCTTACGTCTAATCTTAACAAGCTCACGTTCTTTCTCTACACAACTTGGGCACATTACTATCTTATTGCTATGTATTAAGTCCGATATTTCCCAAAAAGCTCAGAAAAATATTTGAGATTATATACTTGAGTCAAAAGCTTACAGAGGATTTCTCTATCAAATTTATTTACAAGCTAATTACGACTTATTTTTTGTGGCGCGGGGTGAAATTACGTCAGCTTTTTCTTGAACCCCAATACTCCTTTTCAAGCGTTGACCTCCTGATTTTGCTGACCAGTCGCAGATTATCGTGTGGCTCCCAGGGGTCAGGTTCATCGCCAACCCATCTCACCAGATAATTGTACTTTCCAGGGCCTATCGTTTTGTGATCCAAGATCTCCGCCTCGAGAACATCGCCTCAATTAATAGTAGCATCTGTAGTCTCTGTTTTAACCGTTTCAAGTTCGTTTGACGCCTTGTAGAGGGTATGCTCATTTCTCGACCGGAGTTTGACTCGGTAGCCATCATTTCCAACGATTTTATAGACTGCTTTGCTCCATCGAGCAGCTTTATTGCTTTTTGAGACGGTATAATACGCTTGATCCGACTTCAAACTCCTTATCAATTATTTCGGCTTCCACCTGATTATGACTCAGATCTGCATCCATTACTTGCCTTTTGCCTTATTTGGGGTGATATCAATCGAACGATGAAACGTGGTATTGTAGTTTTTGATAACATCAGTGATAAGCTTCGCGTAATTCTCTTGGGGGGCATTTTAGTTAGTCTCTGCTTTAAGGTCCTGTTGAATCGTTCGATTTTACCATGGTTCCGTGATCACGGCTTTCGTTGTTGTAGTGCTCAATTTTCTTAGTTTGGAAAAATTCCTGAGCCTGTGAGTTCATGAACTCGCTTCCATTATCACTTGTTAGGATATCAACTTCATGGAGACGAACAAACGCTTTAAGCGCTGCTAACACGGTTGCTACCGTCTTGTTTCGTAAGAGCTTTGCGTACCCCAGTCTTGAGTTGATGTTGATAGCAGTCAAATAGGCCGTTTTTCCCAAAACGCAAGATTAATTTGCCACGAGCTGGGATTATGCGAAGCTATTTTGAAACCATTGAATCTCTTCTTTTGCTCCTGAAATCGTTAAATATCGGCCTGACTCCCATACCGCGCCTTTACTATTTTGAAGGTTATCTTAGAGTTTTACTCCTTTGCCTTCTCATCCAGAGCTGAGCTCCGATAAAACCGGTTTTTGGGGTCATAGTAGAGATTCTTTAGTCGTCCATGATCTTTATTTAAACTAAAAAAAATCTTCAGTGGCTACCTGCTTAAATATCAAGCGCTTCAGTCGTGATACCATCATCAAGTACTCGACATTTGTCATAGTAGTAGGTGCGCGCTGTTTTGTTTTGAGTGTAGGTGATAAAAAACTTGGTTTCTTTCGATAGTCTGGACCCCTTGTTTGTGCCTTGTAGCGTGATGCGATCCCGTACGACAGTCTCGAACCCATCAGGATTAAAAATCGTTTCACTAAAGTAGCTATGTGGTGAAGTGCTTTCTCAGAAATAAGAGAATGGGCCTGACGCGGGGTCGCTATCCCGAATCAGTGACAATTTCAAGTGATTAGAGAGGATTTGGGTTGTCTGGCACGGAGGCAAGTTGCCTGTGGTGGATTAGCCATGACGAGCAGCACCCCGTATGAAATGACGATGGATCTGGTATGAGCGATGTACGAGAAGGCAAGATCCACCAAGACTTATCTCGGATCCACCCTTACCTGGATTCACTTAGATGGATATGGGATATACTATATAAGAGTGGATCGAGTGTGTATCCTATGAAGGAATGATAATAGGTGCCCTCTGAAGGTGGATCTAGTAGCCACGGCTAACAAGAAGTCAGAATCCACCGCGAGGTGCCCCGGATCCCATACTTCCGAGTTCGGATCCAAGAAGGGAGGATCCCGCAGAGAGGGACCTGGATCCAGGGTACAGAGATGATGGATGCTGTGGATCTCGAAGTTTCGTGGAAAAATGGAGATCACAGACGGTTGCAAGACGATGTTGGATAATTGGAGAGCCCAGATCCACGACGGGTGTGCACTTACAGTGAAGTAGATCCAACGACCCGGATCCGGATGAGTATACCCATAATAGGGTGACCATGATGATTACGTCATGGATCCGGTGGATCTGAAGATAATACAGCTGGGATGATGGGTCAAGGGAAGAAGGGACATGCAGCCGGGCCTGGTAAGGGATTTAGCAAGTAAAAGACATAGAAGGTAGAAATCCAGGCAGGTATAGGCTTAAGTATCAATACAGAACCTCATTTGCACCATAACACGCAAGTGCCTTCCTGCCCTCAAGAACCGGAGCTACGTTGGCCGTACGAGCTCGGAGAAGGTTGGGAATTGCGAATCTAGTGTTGGTAGTGATAGCTGGATAATACATTGGCCAGTTCCTACCACCTAGTAAGCTTTCCCATACACGTGCAGATCCGACGGGTTAACCGAATTTACTACTTGGTCGGTCATACCCTAGAGGCTCTCAACTCTCAAGATCCCGTCACAGCAGGCGGCAAGTACGACGCAAAGGAACTACAAAGGCAAGGGAACACACCCGCAAGGCAACCCTACGGCCAGATCCACGATCTAGGCCCCTGATCCATAAGCTCGAATATTCGCTTAGGATTCGGAACTATCCACGGACGCAGAGTGAAGATTTTCCACTGCTGCTCCACCCCATCCCCACGTCTCGCCAAGACACTCAAGCTTCACCACTTGAACGCTTCGGAAGTTACCGAGAGAGCAGATCCCGCCCTACCGACGGGTACACAAGGTGAGAAAAGTTCAGCAGAACACGGATCATTGGGGGACCCCCTCCGTTAGTCGGTGTCTGGGCGCAGTTGGTAAGTTGGATCCAGCAATCTCGCAGATTTTTCTGATCCCGCTACACCACAATGGTGCGCGTGCCCGGATCTTTTGGTGACTCGGGATTTCACCGTGAGTCCCAAGAAGATGCTCAAGTGAAGATTGAGCCAGGGGAAGACGTACCTAAAACCAAGCCCGCTAGTCGAAAAAACGAGGA